CTCCCCCTCTCCTCCCCCTTTACTCCTCGGCCTATTTGCCTCCCACGCCCCACGCGGCTTGCAAGGGACTTCGGACTGTGAGCATGCTGTGAGTTGTCTTGGTGTTCCAGGGCATCAACAAAGACCAGTAAGCCGGGCTGGGGCTGGTACAGGGCTGCATGTGATTCCAACTCCTCTTCCCCCTCCTCTACCCCTCTTTCTTTACTACGAGTAATGGAAGGGCGCATCGAAAAATATGAAATTGGCGAACTACTCTAAGGGATCATCCAGAAAGTACGTCCATCATTCGCCCTTGTGAACCTGAAAAACCGTTGCCAAACTCAGCCAATGCAAGCTATGCAAGCTCTCATAGCGCCTGATGGGCAGGCAACATCTTGCATACACTGCACACGTGCACTGCGGGTGGCCTACTCTGAGTCACGCAGGCTCCAAGCTTCCGTATTTGCCGCGAATGAATTTCAGAAAAAAGGGCGTACTTTCTGAACGACCCCTCAACAGAGGAAACCTAACACATATGCATAGGTCTAAATTGTATTCTTGGAAATAAAATGTACATTTTGTGCCTGAAGTTGTTTCCGATAGAAACCTAAGCTGAAATTCTGGAGGAATTGTGCATAGTGTTTCTGTTTTCTGTTCCGACGCTGACTTTCTGCTTCTCTTGTAGATGAGGCGCGGTCCAACCAGAAGGGCGTCCTTGTGCACTGTCTGGCGGGAGTGAGCCGCTCCGTCACCATCACCGTCGCCTACCTCATGTACAAGATGTCGCTCAGCCTCAACGACGCCTTCAACCTGGTACGGTCGCGCAAGTCCAATATCGCGCCCAACTTCCACTTCATGGAGCAACTGTACAACTTCGAGCGGGAGCTGCAGACCCAGCCAGGCTGGGGCCACTCTCGGGGCGACTCGGTCGAGTCTGTGAGCGACCCGATCGGGCTGGCCTCCCCCGCGGACAGCCTCGTGGACAGCTTGGCCACACCGGACTCGTCCGGTTCAGGTGAGGACCCCGACGGCCCGGTCGCGGAGGGTCTTAAGGATAGGACACCAGTGGAGGCGGGGCCCGCTCCGGTGCTCCTGGAGCTTGTGTCCTCATAGCGGCTGCTTGTTCCAGGGCTGGTCCCAAGGCGGAGCCCTGGGCCAGGACCGGATGCGGACCTGGAGGACGGCGATGACCGAGGGGGAGGAGCGCGGAGCCGACTGCGACACCGCCCGAGTGCTGGCGGCAGCAGGCAGTGTCCGCAGTGCTCTGCGTCGTCCTCCGAGTGCAAGTGCACGGCCACGCAACTACCCCAGTTCCTCAGCCCCCTGGGCATCGGCCAGAGTCCGGACTCTGGCATCGAATTCGACAGGTGGACGAGCTCCAGCACCCCCGGGTCCGCACCCGCTCCCAGCGGTGGGCCGTGCTCAGGCCCGGGTCCGGGCTCGGGGGCCGATTGAGAAGAACAGGGGGGGACTCGCTACCGCTTCTAAACCCGACCCGACCTCGACACCGGAGGCAGTGCAGAGTGGGAGCTCTCGTGCCCGCTCGACTAACTGTTGGTCCATCGACTGTCTCGGGCTCCAATACTGGTACGACTCCCGCACCATGTACTGACCTTGGCTGGTGGGACCAGTAGAGTGAACAAACAGATACAAGGAAGAATGCCGATTTGAAAAAACAGACCTTTTAGGCGAATTTTCTTTTTTAATGAGAATGATCCTACTGACTGATAAAAATGGTGATAGTGACATCTTATTCTTCCAGTTAAACTCATGTGCCTCACTCTACTGGGTTTAGTCGGGATCGTTTTGGAAGTGGTTGGCATCCTCCCCTGTATAGTGAAAAGCAACACACATCGTTTGGACGATGTGAGAGTTGTACTTGTGATGTTAATAGGTATTGTTTTAATTTGATTTACAAATGTATCTTGTCAACAGATAAGACTTATGGTTGGAGCTCAAAAATCAGTTTTCTGCATGACTGCTTCACGAATAAGAAACTTATGTACAGGGTGATTTCAAAAAGATGAAATGTCACCAACCAAACAACAGAATTTTCAGAAACAATTGTAATTT